GCCAACAGTCCTGAGTCCTATAGCCCACTTGTCACCAGATGTCCAGGAACTAGAACACCTAGCGTGGTCCTTGTTGACCCAAGCGATGACCAGTCCAGTATAGGTTTCTGTAAATTACATCTCACCATATTGTTTATGGGAGAGACACTCTTTGTCTGGTTCCTCTGATGAGACCTGTCCAGTATGGTTGAACCTCTGGCCTAGCTCTCATCCTCCTCGGAGCATGCAAGCCCACAACCGCATCAAGGTAGTGCTTTACTGGGGGATGATGATGATGATGATGATTATCAATCAGAGTTTGAAGGTATTAGTAAAATATAAAGAGAGTGGGAGTGATACGTTTCATTTCTTTTATAAACAAAGTATTCCAACATGTGTCAGTGTGAAAAAGCAATTGCCTCTTAAATTTAGTAAATAGTTGCACCCATCTTTTGCTACAATTGCAATCAATAATTTCAGTAATTCCTGTACTTAGTGTTTGGTCTCTCAGGGTAGAAATTTGGGCCTATTCTTCCATGATGAATGCTTCAATTCAATAGCTTTTCAGGGTTTTCTAGCATGAAGTGTTCATTTCAGATCCTGCCACAACATTTCTGTGCATTTGGCCATTCCAGAATATGGAATTTTATAGAATCATAAAATGTAAAAGTTGGAAGGATCTTGGATATCATCTAGTGCAATGCCCTGCCCAGTGAAGGAATCCACTATTAACACCATCCTCAACAGATGACCATTCAGGTTGTTTAAGTATTTCCAGCTTCTTCTTCTTCAAAGGCCTTTATCATTTTAGTCCTCCCATGTAGATATGTTTCAGTTTATCAACGTCCTTCTTAAAATGCCATGCCTAGAACTGAATACAGTATTCTAGATGTGGTTTGTCCAATGAAACAAACAATGACTTGTCTCAATCCTGACAATATATTTCTGTTGATGATTACATTTGCCTTTTTTGCAGTTGCATCACACTGTTGGTTCATGTTCAGCTTGGGATCCACCAAGACAGCCACATCCTTTTCACTTATAGTGCTGCCTGATATGATTCCCCCCTATATCTTATCCTCATCCCTTTGGTTTCCCCTATCCAGATGTAGAACCTTGTATCTGTTCCTTTTGAAATTCACATTGCTAGTTTTTGCCATTGTTCCAACTTGTCAAGATCCTCCTGAATTTTGATAATGTCCTCTAAGGTGTTTGCTATTCCACACACACACACCCTATGTGTTTTTGTCATCTCTAAATTCAATAGTCGTATCTTCTAACTCCTCATCTAAGTCCTTTATAAATATGTTGAATAGCACTGACTTCAAAGCAGCCGTAACAACGCCCATGTAACCCAAAAAGTTCCACATTTAACTCACCTGTCCACAGAACATTCCTCTAGAAGTCTGGAGGGTCATTCAGGTGTTTTTTGGCAAATTTCAGGTGAGCATCAGCATTCTTTTCAGTGAACAATGGCTTTTGCTTTCTTATTCCCTTTGAATCCTATTTTTACCCAGTCCTTGTCTGTGGGGAAGATTTGCTACCGCCAAAATCTTCTCCCTTTTAAGACTATGTCTCTGACTGGTTTTATAACCTTCACCAGATTGATAAGCATCAATTACTTTTTTTTGTGGAGGTCTTCAGAAATTTCTTTGGAGTAGGACATGGCATGCCTCTAGAATCTGTGTGGTGAGAAGCCTACAGTGCTGAGTGGAACTATACTCTAAGATGTATCTAAGGCAGGGCTGGCCCAAATCAGCCCTGACTGTCTAATGAAGTACTCACATAACTGATCCCAGTTATCCCTGTAATTGTATTGCTTGAACAAGGGGTTGATACTTTTTCACACTGCCATATCACCTGTTAAGATGAGTTTATGAAGTAAAAAACAAACTTTGGTTTGTTTGTTCACTCAGACTATTTATATTATATACAATATATATATTATTTATTGTATAATGTATATTCTATATAAACTATATAATATATAATTATAATTACTATAATTATACATAAATTATACATATATAATTACTATAATTACTACATAAATACTACAGTATTTATGTAGTATTCACACAACGCTTTAATATATAGTGACAAAAGTTATGCAAACGTTCATAAGATCCAAAAGGGGTAAATACTTACACAGAGCTATAAGATCGTTATGTGAAGCCTTCAATTTGATGAAAAATGTCTCAATAAATTAGTTTGTTTATTAAATGTCTTAAATAATTTTCTGAGCCAATCATTTGTTAGTACATCTTACGGATGTTGCCAATATTTATCTTTCCATTTCTTACAAACATCTTTCAGGCAGAGATGATATATAAAAAAAACCCCAAACTACTGGAACAGCTGCACTATTGTGAAGAAACAGGAATCCCACTTGCAATCATCATAGGAGAAGAGGAGCTCAATAATGGAGTAGTGAAACTTCGGGATGTTGTGACTAGGAAAGAGGTTGGTGTTGGTGTTTTAATGGAGAAACTGTTGATCTGAACTAATACTTCCCTAGAGCTGTTTGAACATAACTGGGATCACGCAGATGTTTACAATTCAATTTTCCCTCAGTAAAGGTATTTTATTTTGATTAGTTGCACTTATCCAGTCTCCACTGTCTGCTTTTCAGGTTAATATCCCTCAAGAGAATTTTATAGAAGAGATCAAGAGAAGGTTGGAAAAATACAATACTTAGTTTCATATATTTATTTGACAGTTTTATACTGCTCCTAAGGCTGACTTATGTACTTACATACCGCTCTTATGGAATAGTGCCGGCCTGTGAAGCACCTGGAGCTGTTCAACATTTCTTTCTTTTTTTTGTAATAAAATAATATTTCATGTATTAGTCATACAAGCCAAGATTTGGAGAATTGGATTTGTGTCATTGTACATTTCTTATCCACTGTTGCTGTGTACATAGGCTTAAATATACTGGTCTTTCAAAGGCTATTAGCTTTGCTGTTATTGTTACTGATTATATTCTCCACTCGTATGGCCATCCGATTTGCATGAGTCAACTCCCAAATCTGCAGCTAACTAGACAGTTGGAAACCAGTGCTGATTTATTTGTGAATGTTTGATTGGTAAATGTTTTTGACAGATAGCCACGGTCATTCGTTTAGCCATCTGGCAAAAGTCACGATCTGTAGTAGCCCGTTGATCAATGGCTTTGCCGAAGTACAGAGTTTTGAAAGAGCTCTAAACCCATACTGGTTAAGCCATCTGTCAAAATCCACTGTTTTAGCCAGCTGTGATGGTAAAATAGAGTTTCGCTCTTGAAAAGGTGCTTCTGTTGAAATAACTGAATTCTCATGCTTTCACCCACCACTTCCCAGAGCTGACCTGCAAGGTGCAGCATGTAATGCTCCTGCCCGATTTCAAACAGCAGATTTTCCAGCTCCCCAAACAGAATGGACCTGGAAGAGAGTGCCCTTGGACTATAGGGGAGGGGTCATTATTTCACCAGGCTGGACTGGTCAATAAGTGCTGATCTGATCCTATTCCTTGTTGGTACCACCAACAAGTATATCTGTGACAGCCTACATTCAGTTGTGGCCTCCTGTGGGTTGTTGACATACTGTAAAGGAATTTAGGACTGACCTTGGGAAAGGTATGAGAGAAATGTTGGGGTGGGGAGGAAGGGGTAAGGGTCTGGCAGAAAAAATTACACAGTCCTGAGATAGAGGGAAGTGTGAGAAAGAAACTCAAAATAACCCTATCTTGATTTTGTTTAGTATAAGGTGGGACAGAGAGAATCTGAGACAGGCTTTCAAGATTCTGTTATCCTACTTTAATAAAGAGCATTCCTGGAATCCCTGCCGTGCCTGCTTCTTGACATGGTCTGCCTCGAAGGTCTGACATATACCCACACTGAAACCCAAACAAACACTTTGTGATAGTTTTGCTGATAGAGAAGCTGGGAAAGAGCATAGTTTAGTTTCATATAGTACATATTCCCATAGGAGAGAGAAGTAGGGACTGAAGATACTGGGCTGGAAGGAGAACTGAAAGAATGCAAGTAAAGTAAGTACAGAACCAGTTTGATATAGTGGTTAAAGTACTGGATGGGAGACCATGAGTTCTAGTCTTCCCTTAGTCATGAAAACTGGTTTGGTGACTTTGGGCCAATCACTTTCTCTTAGCCCAGCTCACTTCACAGAGTAGTGGTTGTGGGGAAAACAGGAGGCAAGAGTATGTACACTGCTTTGGGTTGTACAAAAAAGGCAGAATATAAATCTAATAATAAATAAAAAGCTAGTAACTAAGACTAAGACTTACTGTTG